AAATTTAAGCTATGCTACGAACCATAGAGAACACTTCTATCAAACTAAGTAAAATTAATTAAAAAATAAATTCTAATAGCAGAAGTTAAACTCAAGCTATGAACTCTAAAGTTAAACGATAACATTTTGACTATAATAAAACAAAGTTTATTTTAACTCTTTGAACTTAAGAGATACATATGTATTTATTGTATATATATATATACATATATATATACAAAACTGCTACTTAAACTAAAAACTGATTCATTGTAAGATATAAAAATATAACTTTAGATATACATATATAGATAATATATATGTTTATATACCTATCACAGATGACCTTTATAACCAAACTACAGTTAACTAGTAATCGATCAACAAAATCACTCGATAAGACCTTTTAAGGCAAGGAAATGCACAGAGAACAATGGCTATACATCACCATATCAAACATTTGCTCACCTAAATTTAACTTACACCAAAAGTTTCATGTACTAATGCCACAGAGGAATGACTGGGCACGGATCATACCTTTATTTGTTGGAGATTACTATTTGTGGTACACGGATGACTCGAAAACGTTGAAAGGACATAGTTCATAGTCCTTTCATAGGACTATAGGACATAGTTCAATTGCGTGCATTTCGACTTGTAAAACTGAATGATTGGAAAACGCAGCTCAGACTGATTGGGATAATATAATTGCCTGTAGACAAGCTCATGAATTTATGCCGAAACGATCAAAATCCAGAACTAGAGACCTACTAATGCTGAATAGAAGAGGTATCCAACTTATCAGAGAGTTTGTCACTGAAAATTACGGAGTTAAAAAACATATATTGATTATAGATATTACAAGGGACGATAGCTGCAGACTTTGTCACGAAGAGAATAAAACAGCAGAACACATTCTGTGTCGCTGTGATAGTTTCGCCAGATTCAGACTTTGGTACTTATCAACTTATAACGGAATTAGGCAACATAACTGCTACGCACCTATGGAACTTAAGTAGGTTTGTCACAATAAGGATGCATTGACGTTGTGACATAGTTTTCAACTCTTTTAAAATCTAATTTAATCTAATATAATACCTATCACAGGCGTACCACTTTATTCCTATATATAATATACCTATATATTTATTGTATTTATGTTATTTGTTTCTATTATCAGTAGTAGTATTTGTTCTTCCAGAACGTTCTCTATCAATCGTTAGTTATTTAGTTGCAGTGGAGGGAGTAACGAATTCTCTTCAATTAGCTAAAAAAAGCCGTTTTGAATCCACAATTCCTCGTTAAAGTGGGTGGAAGAAGGTCGAATTAGAACAAGCCAGAAGCATTTATAAAAGCGAGAGTCTGAGCAATGCTAATACTGGATATATAGCTGAGTGTGTTAAAGAAGGGGACACGCCATATTTATTATATTTATTATTTATTATTATATATATTTTATTTGTTTCTCTTATCAGTGGTAGTATTTGTTCGTCCTGAACGTTCTCTATCATCCTCTTTAATTAGCTACGAAAACTGTTTTGAATCCACAATTCCTCGTAATAGTGGGTAGTAATAGAAGGTCGAACTTAAACCAGCAGCCTAAAGCATTTATAAAGGCGAGAGTCTGAGGAATGCTAATACTGGATATATAGCTGAATGTGTTAAAGAAGGGAGCTCCCATAAACGTAAGCTTAGTTCTAGCCAAGTCCGAACGCAGACACAACACGTGTTTTGGTGTTCTTTCTTCAACAGTTGGTAGACATGCATTGCAGGAGATACTACATAGTAGGCCAAATCTAGCTCCATGGCATTCTATCAGTCGTTCTAGTGAAAAATTTTCACCTTAAAGCATCTTATTATGTTCGGGCGAAAAACTTTGTATATTTATAAAGCCTTATGCACTGATGTTTATACACAAATATTTTTATTTGTATGTATTGTGTTGTATATATTATATTATATATATCATATTGTTTATAACATTTATGTACAATATAAATAACTATACTTCGTGATTAATTCAAATTAATTTATAATACACAGATTTCTGCAATTCTTTAGTTTAAAATATGTTTGAAGAACACAGACTGAAAGTGGTCTTTAAAAAATTAATTAAAAATTTATTTTAAGCGATTTTAATTTAATTATCACTTAATTTTATACACGAGCTTACATGACATCCCAAGCACTACCTCCCGTGCACATGTTTTTCTATGAGTAAGTCAATTTGTTTTTAACATTTATCTTCTAATTTTTTTTTTTTTTTGATTTAATTACTGACTTAATTTATTATTAGTTTTGCTCAGACGTTATTTATATAATGTTCTTTTTTAAATATAATTAGAATTTTGAACAAATTCTTTTAGCTTCAAATGTGGCTGCAGTTACTTTTCTTATCGGAGCAAAACCAACAAAAAAGAAAGCAAAGATATTTGTTGACTGACATTTATTAATGCTTTGCCTAGAACACAGATAAGATTTAGTCAAAAATGCCGTAATCATTTCTTTTTCCTATAGTTTTTAATAAAAAAAAAACAGTTTTTAATAAAAAATTCATGGAAATGCGAAATCAATTATATTTTATTTGCTCACATTTTATTTGCGAACAAAAAACTTTCGTCGTAAAAAAATAAAGTAAATAGCATTAAATGCAATTATACGAATCTATATACGTTTGTTGATATAGTAAATGTGAACACTCTTATAGATGACTGAATCAATCCAATCAGTACATACTCGTACTCGCATATATATATATACTACCATAGCCATCTGCACACCTTCAGTCGCCTATTTTTCAATTAATTAAGGTTGAATGTGGAGGGTGTGCATCAAAGGCGCAGGCTGAGCTGAACATGCTGGTGATGATGCACCGTCAAACGCATGAATGGAAAATTGACCAGAAAAAGTTCTGGTTACTTCGTTTCGGACTTAAATTTCAATTTCAATTAGCCATCTATAGATAGATTCTTGAATGACAAATCGGATACTGTTGTCATTAAGTGATAGCGTGCGGAAGAAAATTTCTCTTACATTTCATGGAAATCAGATACACACTGCGCTATTGAATTTTTTTCCCTGATTAGCGGAAGAGAATTTTTTCTTTTATATGATAGGAATAAACTTGTGAAAATGAGGAACAAACTTGTGAAAATGAGGAACAAACTTGTGAAAATGAAGAAAATGTTTCTATTTTTCTATTTATTAAAGGTGATTTTACAATTAGCATTTTTAGCTTTTCTATATATGGTATATAATGTATAGAGCTGTGCAAAGGCTTCAATCACAGCAATCTTGGGATACTCAAAGATACTAACAACGATATCGGAGATTGTAACTAAGATAGACTCATCCCTGTCAATTAATCTTTTAATGTGCATAAAAACCAGGTGCAGTTTTTGCGAAACCCTTATTAGTTCTGTTATAACATGGATCTGCAATATGTTTATAGTTTAAGAGAAAATTATTAAGGAAACGTCGAGGTTAAAATAGTTCTTATAGAAAAAAAAAAAAAAAATCATGAGCGTTCGAACATATCTTAAAAAGAAAATGTGGAAAAGTTCACATAAGCGTAATATCGTTGATGACCGAAGCATGTTCAATAAATGGAAGAATGTCGTCCACTATCACAGATAATTTTGTATGTAGCGCTAAGTAATAGTGCGCAAGAAAGACCAAAGCAAAAATGACTCGATTGTGTAAGATGGAAAGGATATAGCAAAGCTTCAGGTGTTAAATTGGAACTAGGTGCTAAGATTTCAGGAAAGAGTATCATTATCCATGGGAAAGCTTGTTCGGTGCTATAATAACTTACTAACTTACTTAATTAGTTGACAAAGAATGAACAAGGATTATTATTTGTTTTTTTTTTATTTTTTGCTTTAGATGAATTGTGGTAGAGGTCGAATACTGAAATGCAGCTTGACTTTCGAAAATAATAAGAATGTTGTTTTTGTAGCAATATAAATACCTCGAACATAAAAAAAAAATAATAATAAAATTTTACAGACCATTTTTTTTTGTGTAGAGTATTGAGATATGTTTATCTTAGTTCCGCTCAAACTATTTCAAAGATTTTCTTAGTTATGGTAAAATAATACCGAAAGAAAGCACTTGGGGACCAAAACAATACTATAATATAATTCACTAGATATGAAACTAATTTTACACAATCAATAACTTGTAATAATATTTCAATATATAGTTTGTAAAACATACACTAAAAATAAAAGTGCTACTTCGTAGCATTTGTATACGAATCAACGTAATGTTACTCATCCAAAAAGTGGTTCAAAAAACGTATGAATATTTTATTTAAGAAACATAAAATTTAAAGTACAAATGAATGTGTGAAAGAGACGTAGAACATCTTCTGAACTAAATAAATTAAGACCCACATTTTTTTCCATCAAAACAGAAATTAATTTATTTAACAAACAAACAGCTTTAACAATCCTGACCAGCTTTTATTGTTGTTATGTTAAATATATAGTTTCTGTAGTTCAAGTTTTCCAATGTCTAGATGGAGAACATATATGCGACTAAGTGGTCCACTACTTTTTTATCTACACAACAGTGTCAGCATACAACGGACCTGGAGATATCTAGTTTGTGCTGGTAGTAGTTCCAGCTACAGTGCCGTATAGTGATCTATACAGTGATGAGGTGATCTATTGTGTACTAAGTTCAGGAATCAGTTTTAACCACTATATTTTTGTTTTTTTTTTTAGTTCCATTGATATAATATAGGTAAGACTGAGTTCTATGTAGCTGATATAGGTTAATAGTCTGAATTGTAAAATTACTGTGGCAATCAATCCTATTCTTGAACTCATATAATCTCTAATATTCATTGTGATAATACTACTTAATATGATACCTTAACTATTAATTGATTGTGGAATCATTTTAATATGTCTAAGTTACCTATTTTTTATATAGAATAAACATATGATTATGTTATTTATAACTAAATTAAGAGAGTCTATTATTAATTTTGTATTTTGTTTTTATTTTTTTAGATACACATTACGGCAATAAAACCATTGACATAAAAACTCCACTCTTCCCCAAGGATCTATTTACAAAGGAACAATTAGAACGTGGCGCCGTCATATGTCATATAATTGGTGTGATTTATATGTTTGTTGCATTGGCAATAGTCTGCGATGAATTTTTCGTGCCTTCACTGGACGTGATCATCGAGAAACTTGACATCACCGACGATGTTGCCGGTGCTACATTCATGGCTGCCGGCGGCAGTGCACCCGAACTATTCACAAGTGTTATTGGTGTATTTGTCTCATTCGATGATGTTGGTATCGGTACAATTGTCGGCTCAGCTGTATTCAATATACTATTCGTTATTGGCATGTGCGCATTATTCTCCAAAACTGTTTTAACCCTTACGTGGTGGCCACTATTCCGCGATTGTACCTTCTACAGCATCAGCTTACTGGTTTTAATCTACTTTTTCCGGGATAGCCGTATTTACTGGTGGGAGGCGCTCATCCTGTTCTTCATCTATATTGCTTATGTGACCTTCATGAAGTGGAACGTGCAAGTGGAGCAGTGTGTGAAGAGATTGATAACGAAAAATAAGGTGACTCGCGTCAGAAGTACAGATCAGCTTATGCCAGCAGTAAGTAGTTGGGAAGTTTTTTTGCAAAAAAAAAATTAAGAAATTAAATTAAATTAATTAAAACACAAATTGAGATTGAATCCGATATTAAATTTAAAATTATTTGAACAACAAACAGAAAAAAAATTTTAACAAATCTATTAAAAATTAATTTTTAAATAACAACACTGCGTATCCTTTGCCAGGATATTTAATGTTGCTTTTCTTAATTAAATTAACAAAAAAGGAGTTTCGATTTGAAACTTTTTAAAGTACAATTTAACTGTACTGTTTTTTTTCTTAATTTTATCAGTTTTGTGTATTTATTTGGAATATTTTATTTCTAAAAATTAATTAGTAAAAATAGTTATATATAAAATATATATATATATTTATTTGTTTTTTTATTTAATTCGATCATTTTAATTTTGTTTCCGTTTCTGATTTTCATTTCAGTTTAATTTTTTCTGTTCTTTATTTAATAAAATTTTTAATAATCGCACCAGCTGCATGTGTTTGTTATGAACTCTTAATACTTTTTTATTTGTAGTTTGTTTTGAGCTAGATTAAGATATATAATATTCTATATTCATATATATATATAGTATAAGGACACAAACTAAGCAATTATTAGTCGCTCACACTTTGCAAAATAGTAACATTAGTTTATAAACAATAAAGGCATTCTAATTTCTAATCACTTCAAATTTTATTTAATAATTAATATTAATTAATTTATTTTTATTTATATTCTTACTGAAACTTTAGTTCAACTACAGAACTTTGCTTATGCTCTAGTTATAATAATTAAAATTAATTAAAACTTAAGAGAACGTAACCTAACTTAATTACGAATAGTAATTAAAGTAAAAATATTAAAAACTATCACTTCCTAATCAATATGTATAAGAAATCAAAGAAATGTTTGCAAATTAATTCTGTTTTTATTTTCAATATACCATATATGGCCAGTTTTATCAACCATAAATACTGATGAAATGTTCTATTTGCTTATTAAAAACCTCTCCAAAGTTCAGAACTCAGAACACATGAGAAATAAAGTGAAGAAGAATTATTTATCACAAAACTTTTTCATTTGTTATTCTAATCTTCTTATGTCATCCTCATCTCTCAGTTGAGCATAGGGTCTCGTACGTCAAAGACCCTGTTACTCTAAAGATCAACTCAAAAAAAAACTAGAGAGTGTAGTTTAATAGTGCTTTGGGCATAACACTGCAATCGCTCGCTACATTAGTTGACAAATCTGACTTTAATTCAAATTCCTGCAATACAGAAATCAGGGTCTGTAACTTCATTGTGCGCAGTGTTACAGAAATGCCCTTGCTCAGCTTCATTATATATATATAAAATTTTCAAATATATAAAATTTTCTATTTTGTGAAAAGCAGCAAATATACGGGTTACTGACTTATTAGCATATTCTATTAACCTAAAGAATTTCTTTGCTCTTCATATTAGTCAGAAATCACAAAACTCCAATTGTATTTGAGGTTAGATTTTTTTTTGAACTTCTGTATTTTTGTTACTATGGAAAATGGAAATATCATCTATAATACTTATTGTTCTGATGCAGAGTTCTGATTACTAACTCTTTTCTACAACACTTACTAAATTCGTTTAATGAGTTTTAATGAATAATAGTGTTCACACCGGTTAAATGAGTTAAAATAGGAGCAATTGTACGGTCATACATTTTATTATTTTTATTAATAAGTATTTTTTAATTTATGTTTTAAAAAATTATATATAAATTTAATTTCTATATAAATACTAAGAGATGTATTTACAGTGCCTTGATGTGTTCAAAGCACTGATATACATAAGGACCATACCTTATGATAGGGTGCAACTTTATCTAAGGTTTGCGAACTTGTGAAATCCAGAAACTTGATTAGTAGGTTAAAATAGACGAAACCATTTCAAATAATATATATAAGGTTTACATGATCGTGCTCAATGTAAGGTATTGTCTATAAAATGTCTATAAATATAATATGATTACTATATAATCTAATGCAAGAGTCCAATTGTAATAATATGTAACATAAAAGTTGGAACAGTTTGCACTCTGAACTTACTAAAACTATTCAATATTAGTTAGTATTTATACTACATATTGAGCTACGATTTATACTACATATGGAGCTACAATTTATACTACATATTGAGCTACGATTTATACTAGATATTGAGCTACGACTTATTCTATATATTGAGCTACGGCTTATTCTACATATTGAGCTACGACTTATATTACAAATTGAGCTACAATATGTACTACATATTGAGCTACTATTTATACTACATATTGAGCTACGATTTATACTACATATTGAGCTACGATTTATACTAGATATTGAACTACGACTTATTCTATATATTGAGCTACGGCTTATTCTACATATTGAGCTACGATTTATACTACAAATTGAGCTACAATATGTACTACATATTGAGCTACGATTTATACTACATATTGAGCTACAATTTATACTAGATTTTGAACTACGACTTATTCTATATATTGAGCTACGGCTTATTCTACATATTGAGCTACGATTTATACTACAAATTGAGCTACAATATGTACTACATATTGAGCTACGATTTATACTACATATTGAGCTACAATTTATACTACATATTGAGCTACGACTTATTCTATTTATTGAGCTACTGCTTATTCTACATATTGAGCTACGATTTATACTACATATTGAGCTACGATTTATACTACATATTGAGCTACGATTTATACTACATATTGAGGTACGATTTATACTACATATTGAGCTACGATTTATACTATGTATTGAGGTACGATTTATACTTCTATTGAGCTACGATTTATACCATTATTATTAAAATTTAAACGTGAAATCGCCCAACAGCCTTTACTACGGCCAGAAGAGTCCGACTGTATCAATTTCACTATTGATTACACAAAGCCCTATAAAGCTTTGTGAACAAAGTCCAGCCCCAAATTTAGAAAAAAACTCTTAATCTGTTTTGGTGACAGATTTTCCATATAAAATAAGTTTCTGCTGTGTATTGTTAAAGCTGGACAGTTACAAAGAATATGCATGTCCTCATCTTTGAGGCATAATCTGTATTTCGAATTAGCAGATAATCGTTGTTTATGAAAGTTTATGAAGATGATATTTCAGGCTACATTGAGCGTAACCAACTTTAAATAACATTTCGAGAATCTAAGAATTGTTTTGAAGGAGTACGGTTTTATCAGTGCTTTGCTTTATACCATTTGATTTATACCATATAGTGAGTTATAATTTGTACTATATATTGAGTTCTGATCAACTGCTTATTTTGTGTAAAATATGGGTAGCTTATCGTTGTGACTTTATACTTTAGTACAAGTAAATGGTTATTATAGGAAAGTTTTACATACAACAACTCTCACCCATTTCAATTTTTTTTATGTAAATATTATATTCATTTTTTGACTTATTTTCTCTACTTTCTTAGCTACTATTCTTAGGCACAAGTAATACACTTTAACTTATGATCAAGAAATATTCAAACTAATATAGTTTAAAAATACAAATGTTGCCTCTGCACTCATTTTTGATACTATATATGCCTCCACTCCTCAATATTGTACATAAGTTCTGGTTTTTAGTTTAAAATTTTAAACTACTTAACTTTTTATGCATTTATATAATTCTTCACTAAAATATGATGAAAACTTTTAAGCTAATTGCTCCTTAAATTTCATGCCATCAATTAAAACTTTTTTAAAGATTGCCTGACTTTCTACAATGTCTAATTCATGTGTCTTTTATGTCTTTCATATAATACAAAAAAAAAAAAATTTATTTAAAAAAAATTTCAATGGTTTTTTGAAATTTGAAGTACTCTAGAAGACTTCGTAAGTATTGAATTTGGCAATTTATTTTTCGTTTTTGTTGTAATTGTCCTTTAAAGGAACTTTCACCTTTAGTCAAATTAAGTCAATTAAATGCAAATTAATTTTTTAGTTTGATTTCTTCCCATTTTTTCTGATTTCCATTTATTCTCTTTTTACTTTTTTTACTTTTTTTTACTTTTTTACCACATTTACCACACTAAGTTTCATTTCTTCTATTTTTTAGCACCCAAACTGTAACACTCTCTACCCATATGTTCGTTATTTTATTCTTAATTTGCAGTAATTAACTTCAATTTTACTAGCACTTTCGCAGACATGACAGGCAAAGGAAAGCGTAATGCGCCTAGAAGTGTGCTATAAAAATTGGCAGAACCTAAGTAAATGTCAGACACTATAAAATTACGCAATTAATGTAATTTTAGTTTTATTTATTTTATTTACTTTGCTCTTTCCTACTTTGTAACTAATTTCTTTATAGTCTAAATTATTTTTTCCTTCTTATTCTCTAATTTTTGTTTTTGTTTTGCTTTTGGTTTTGTGTTTTTGCGTTTTTGCAATACGAGTTTTAGGAAAATTCCGGTAATGGCCAGACACTTGTACTGGGTCGTGTTTATATATATTATTGCCACTCGACTACATTAGCTGATTAGTTTTAATTTAAACCTTCTTTGTGAATTCAACTATGTTAACTTTGTGGTATATATAAGCAGGGTTGCTCGTTCTCATTTGACCAATGTATGTCTGAGTGGAAACAAGTTTTTGTTTTTATTCAAATGAAATAATTTTAAACATATTCTAACCATTTAATTGTGCAGAAACCATTTTAACCGTAAATGGAATCAGTAACTAAATGACTACTTTTAAACCAAAAATTTGAAGAATATCTATGTAATCTCCTCTGTATACAATACACAATGCATATGAGCCTTAACACTCTTTTAGGCTAACACATACGGCTTTTGCGAGAATTATGTACCATATTTAAGCTGCATATAGCCCAGTTGAGCACATATATATATATATATTAACCCACAGTTGTTCAAAAATATGATCTTGGTTTTTGCTGCATATAGCCTAGTTGGGCTTCTTTATATATATTATCTATATTATG